TAAACAGAAGTGTGCATGAATCACTCTATTATGATGTCTTTAATTCTTCTGGGAATATACCAGGCAAGGTACAGTTTGGTCAAAGGGTATTACTATTTTTAGTTTTCTGAGGACTCTCCATACTGATTTCCATAATAGTTGTACTACTTTGCATTCTTACCAATAAATTAGGAAGGGTTCTTTTTCCCCCGGCCCACTTCCCCAGCATTCATTGTTTTTGTGTTTTTGATGAAGCCATTCTGAATAGGGTGAGATAGAATCCCAGTGTTGTTCTGATTTGCATGTTTAATGGCTAAAGATGATGAACACTTTTTCATGTGCTTATTGCCCAGTTGTAGTTAGAAGCTATGTCTTGTGCACAGTTAGTTGCCTTTTGTCCTTGGAGTCCCTTAAAACCTTTCCAGGCTCTGTGCAAGGGTCTAACACAGTTTATGCACATTTCCTGAGTTTCATCTCAGTGTTGGCCCCAGGATAGGGGATCTAGAGAGGAAGGACATGGTTCTTGCCCACAAGACACCCTTGATGAACTGAGGAGATGGGGGTGAGTCTGTGTCCTAGTGGCCCAGCCAAGGACAGAGTGGGACAAAGGCCCAACGAGAAAGGCTTTTTGGGGGAGCAGGCATCTGGAGTGGGTCAGGTTGTGCCTTCACCTGACGTCATGTTTACCTGGAAGCTCGGAATGTGGCCTGACTTGGAACAGAGTCGTCCTAGATTTAACCAAGGTAAGGATCCAGATGAGACCATGTGCTCAGGAAAATGACACATAAAGAAGAAAAGGCTGGGTGTGTGAGGCTGGAGTCAGGGATGGAGAGAGGCAGCTGCCAGCCATGGCGCGCCAGATTGCTGGGACCTCCAGAAGTGGAAGAAGCAAGAAGGCTCTTCCCTGGAGACTGGGGAGCAGAGCCCTGCCCTCTCCTTGACTTTGAACTTCTTTCCTCCACAGCTGTGAGAGAATACACTACCATGGTTCAAAGCCACAGTGTTGGTAGCACAGAATGACAGCGACCCTGGCAAGTGAACCCTGCACCGCCAGAGCCTGAGCCAGTCCTAAAGGCCAGTCTCCCTGTCCCTTTCCTGTCTGCGTACCTTACCTGAGTTTCTGCTGACTGTTGGGTGCACGTGTGGGTAACTGAGTGTGCGAACGAATGGACAAGCAGTGTGTTATTGGGATGGGCCACAGCGAGCTGTGGGTCAGGTGTCAGGTGTGCAAAGCCAAGGCAGCGGGAGTGGAGGGGTGGGGGTTGTGGGCCAACTACTGAACCTTGGTCAAACTGGACGTGGAGGGGAGTTTTCGCTGGGGAGTGCCGATGAGTCAGTAAGAAGGATGGAAGGGAGGACCACAGGAAGGAGACGGGAGGTTAGCTGTATCCACTGCCCAGTGTGTCATACACTGTCCTGTGTCCATTAAAATCCCCTGTTGCTCCTGTTACCCTTGAAATGCTCCCTCAGGGAGGTGAAAATGCCCTCGTTTCCCAGCTGTGAAACTGAGGCTCAATGACATCCAGGAATCTGGCAACAGTTGTATGACAGCAAGCAAAGGCAAAGCAGATTCCGAATGCAGTCTCTGCCCCCGTGTGTGGTCTCTGCAGTTCCCTGCATGCTGCTCCATTCCTAGCTGCTGGGAAGGGAGGATCAGCAGGGGTCCTGGGGCTGGAACAGGCTGGACTACAATGCCTTCCAAAGTCCCCATGGCTGGAGGACAGTTCTCTAGGAAAACAACAATGATGACAACAACAACAACAACAACAACAAAAAACCCCAAACCGACCCAAGAGGACCGAGCAGGTACAGTGCTTGGGACCCAGGCCATCTGAAGGCCAGTGGGTGTGCACTTCTGGCTGGCCTGGAAGAGGGGCCTAGGGAAAACTCCCTGTCATTTCTTCCCTACTGTATCCAGTCACACTCCAGGCCACAGGCCGTCATCTCAGATAGGTCTTCGGGAGCTTTTCCAGACTAGGCAGCACCCTGGGTTCCTACCGGATGGAAATCCTGTGTGTCTAGGGTCCATCTGTCTCCTGCCCTGGAAGCCTGGCCCTTCAGTGGCCTCAGGCCCATCACTTCCAAGGCCTCCCACTCCTCCTGCAGACAGAGAGTGCTGTCTGTCTGCCAAGAACGGCTGATTGTGGTCTGTGGGCTCAAAGACCCTGTCTGGCCCTGGAGGAGCAGCACTTCCAACTCCCTATGAGGCCACAGCGTGAAGGGAGCTAGAATGGAGAGGAAGAGTTTGGTTATAAAGGGTCGAGAATCTCCACTGAGGAGCTGAAGGGAAGTCAAGTTCACTCTGAAGGTCGGGGAAAGGCATTGTAGCAGAGGGAACAGAATGTGCTAAGACTCAGGGTGTGAGGTGCACAGCGTGTTGGGCTGGGACAGGGTTGGAAACCTGGGAAGGAAAGTGTTTGAGGAAAACTGGTTGGTGTAAGTGGCATAGGTGAATTCAGCCTGCTTTGGGACTGCAGGAGGTAAGTGCGCTACCTGGGATTTTGTGCTGTTCCCCAGAGGGGTGCAGAGGCGGATGAGGTGGGGCCACTTGGAGGGATAGTGGAAGTTCGTGACTGGGTCACCTTTGGAGCTACCATGGCTATGGGCTGAGAGCCAGGAAGGGTTGGAAGGGGTTGGGGCCAGGACTCTAGTGGCTCTGCGCTGCTGGGCAGTCTGCTGGTGGCTTCTGCCATGGGGGGTCTGCCCATGGCAGCCAGGCCTTTCCGGCCACCCAGAGGCTGGGTGGCACTGTCTGCTCTGAGATCAGCAGCCTCCTCCGGTCCTGCTCCGCTGCCTGTGTCTGCCTCAGTTTCTTCCCCGCATTGCTCTCTGCGCTCCCCTCCTGCTCAGCGTCTCCTGTGGGACCTTGACGTTCTCCGTGTCTTCTTGCCTTGTTGAGCTCTGCCTCGTGTCCCCATTCCCTTGCTGCCTGTTGAGATTATTAGAGATCATTTACCTTTTTTTTTTTTTTTTTTTTTTTTCTAAATTTGAAGTATTTTAGTTTAACGGCCCCTGGTTAAATGCACCCTGACCTCCACCATGGACTGGGACTCTCTCTTTAGCCTTGAAGTCCCATACTGTATCCTTTTCTTTTGCTCTAGACAGAGTGACAGGACTGCTGCTCTGCTGGGGCTTGTTTTGCACTTAGTCCAGGCTTGGGGTCTGGACAGTGGAGGTCCAGATGTGGGAGGCCATAATGCATTTTAAACAGAACAGTCAGATGATGAGGTCTGTGCTTTTGAAAGCTTGCAGGAAGGATAGGAGTGGAGGCCCGGTGTCCCTTGGGGAAGCTGAGGGAGCTGAGGGCAGCTGGCTCGGGAAGAGCAGCAGAGGCACAGGAGGAAGGGCGGTCAAGAAAGCGCTGGGGGGTGGGAGGGGCCCCGCAGGCCGGGCGTGGGGGTGGCAGCCAGCATGTGCCAGAGAACAGGGATTAATGGGCCATGAGAGTCCCAAGGGCAGCGTGGCCAGCTCAGTGGGCAAGGAGGCCCGAGGGCGAAGACAGAGCTCCAGGGAGGTGGAGGGGTCTTGCCGGTCTCTGGGGGAGGACACCTAAATGAGCTGGGGACATTTAGGAGAGTTTTAAGCAGGGGAATTTCCTCTTTCTACATATTCTAAAATGATCCCAGGTTGCTACTTGGAGAAGAGATTCAGGTGGAAGCTGAGAGACCAGGGAGTAAACTATTGTCACAGCGTGGATGAGAAAAGATGGTGGCTTGGGCTAGAGTTAGTGCCATGGGTGAGACATGGCAGGACTCTGGATATGTTTGGAACCCGAAGCTTAGGCCTAAGAATTCTCCAGGAGGGGAGGTTTGCTGAGGTAGAAGTGGCCTTGACCGTGCTGGGTTGGAAATGTCTGTTTAACCTCAAAGGGGAGACGGAGAGCTGGCGGTTGGGCCTAGAAGCAGAGACAATCAGTAAGGCAGCAGCATTTGCTTGGGTAGAACACAAATTCACAGCCGTGAAGTCAGCCACACAGGGAGAGACAGCAGACACATCAAGAAGGTGTGAGGCCTGAGCCCCTGCCAATTAGCAGCCAGGAGCGCAAGGACAGGAGAATGAACTGCAGGGCAAGAGGAGAAGGAGGGAGTGAGAGGTGTCCACGGCCAGTAAGAGGTTTTTCAAGATGGAGGGAGAGTGGCAACAACTGTGTGGTTGGCCCATCGAATAGGATGGGAAATGGGAACAAATGGACAATTTTGGCCCCATCGGGTCCTTGGTTACCTTCCAAGCAGATTCATGGAGAGATGGGATTGGGAACCCAGAGGGCGCAAGGAGAATTGGCTGGAGTAATGTGGCAGCCAGCAGCACAGGGGGCGGCACACAGGCTGAGGAGCAGAGTCTGGGCGTCTTGGGTGTCTCTGGACCACACCCAAACAAGAAACCCAGGTGCCCAGAATACAGGCTAGGGAGAAGGGAGAAGTCCAGAGTGTGGATCTAGAGAACTGCATGCGGAGGGAACCTCCAGTACAGTGGTACCCTGGGGCCAGGCTCAGGGGAGCAAGGCTCATTGGAATGGAAGCTAGATGCTTTCATTGGTGGGGTGAGGACTTGGCATACACTGCAGGACTTGGCCAGGGCTGGCCAGGACAAGATGGGACTGCAACCAGCCATGAATGCGTTCAGTGCCCATGACTGAGACCTCCACCCTACACAACAGAAGCAGCTGGGAAGCTTTTCAGAAATCCAGACTGCTGGGCCCCACCTCAGAGCACCGTCTGTGTCAAGTGGGGCTTGGCCCTGTTTCCACACATCCTGCCAGGGGACCGCACAGTGCCTGTGGTGAGGGAGGGGCGCTGTGCTGCACTCCGGCTAATTCCCAAGCATCACACTGAGCCAGTGCGGCAGGCACTTGGAGATAAAGGGGCTACAGGGACAGTGAGCTCTGGCATGGGGAAGACTGGTTGCTATAAGCATTGAAGGAATTTGTTGGCTTTCCCTAGAAGAACAATTCTCGTAACATTTACAAAAATGAACATCTAGATTAATTCTGCAGGTTTATAGCTCCTTGGGGGCTGCAGAAAAACATTTGGCACCAGAAACAAACTCTATTCTGTTTTTGTATCTTGCAGTGCAAGATAATTTTGCAAACACTGGATACCAAATTGCATGTACTTCTTTGGAATTTCAATGTTTACATCCATAGAAAGCAGAGAAACATAATCATGGCAAAATTCTCACACTGCCACCCGGACTAACTGCATCTGGAGGTGCTCTTGTGTCTCTCAACTCTCTTGTTCCAGATTTCAATGGTGTTCTGGGCAGAGGTATTTTTTTTTTAATCAGCCTAGAATTTCTTCCTTTGGGGAACTGTTTCATTCCCACGAGATTTAGTTTACATGGGCTGGTAATTAATAGAGCTAACCCTGCCTCTGCCCACGGGACGTGGTCCAGGATGCACCAGGAATGGTAGCCCAATCCCAGGCAACAATGCTCAGGAGGCAGGCATGGGAGACAGAAAGGGTCCTTAGGTTTAATTTGTGGGTAATGGGAGAACAAAGTTCTCTATCAGAAGACGCAGAGCTAGAGATTGTGCGCTGGGGTTTATCAGTGCCATTGTCCTTACTTTCTGTGGAGAAAGAAGGTCAGAGGCAGAAAGAAGCCTGACAGATGAGGTAGAGAGGGAGGGAAGGGGTAGTGGGAGAGCCCTGACCACACAGCACTTGGCTCCAGGCACCCAGGTTCTGGCACCTTCAGACCTGCAAGTGGTCCCTGCATCCTTGTATGGGTCAGCTCTTTGGAGCCAAGTTTCTGTCCCTTGCAACCGAAAGCACTTTGACTAAGACAAGTCTGTGGAGCTCACGAGTGGGTGGACATGTAGGGTATGCACTGGAGAGTCAGGCAGGCATGGTCAAAGAGTGTGTGAGGCAGCTGGCCCTGCGAAGTCCAGGTGTCCGTCTCGGGGTCGTAGCAGTCAAAGGAGGCCGAGTCCTCGATGCTGCAGTCTGTGGTCAGCCGCCGACCGCCTGTCACATACAACTTGTCACCCATCACGGTGGCCCCATGGTGCATCCTCCGGTCTTTCATGTCTGCGCATTTGACAAATTTGTTGGACTGAGGGTCATAAGCAAGGATCCTCCGTGTGTAACCTGAAAACCAAATACCATATGAACGAGAGAGCGTTGCTCAGCCTGGACTGCATGAGCAGGGCTGGGAGGCGTCTGTCTGCTCCCTGCTAACACATAGGCTGAGACCCTAAACTAAAGCGCGGGCTATTGAGGTTTTCTACCATGGCTGGGTATGTGGCAGAGCTGGGGTTGGCATGCACATCTGTCTGAGTCTGGTCCCTGCATCCTTAACCCCAAATTAAGGGAGCACAGAAGCACTGGCTTCCTGAGTGAAGAGCTCAGGGACAGTATGGATTCAGTGCAGAGTGAGAGCAGCCTCCCCATTCTAGTGGCTCACTAAGACTTGTTGGCATTTTTTGCTCTTATCTGCCCAACAATCCAAAGAAGGAGTCTTTGAAAACTCAGGAATGGGTCCCCACAACAGCTCTAGTTGGTGGGTACTTTAAGGATCCCCATTATATTGATAGGCAAACTGAGGCATAAAAAGATGAATAACTTGCCAGATAGTAGTCAGCAAGTTAGTGGTAAAATCAGGATTTGAAGCCAGGTCTGACTTCCAAATCAGCTCTCTTAACTATGCATATTATGCAATCCCAGAGCAATCCCACGTGCATTAGTAATCAATATTATTAACAACAGCAAGCACTTCTTACTGACCATGTGTCTGGGACCGTTAGTGCTAAGGCATTAATTGCTCTTGTGTTTTATCATCTGTGAATTAGGTATCACCCTAGCCCTCATTTAAGGGTGAAGGTAGGGAGGCCATTCCGGATGAAGACAGAGCTTGGTCAGGTTGTCCACAGTGCCCTGAGTGGATTGATGTGCTTTTAGAAAAGACTACCCCACAGAACAGCGTCAGTCTATCGGTGGCCCTTGTCCATAGGAGGTGCCATGCCCTGCCAAGCTGCCCTCTCTTCAGACTCACCTCCCACGATGACAATCCGCTCCCCGAGCAGGACCGCAGGGCCACACACGTTCTTCACCACCCTCGTCTCCATCTTGAACCACGTGTTCCTGGCAATGTGGTAAACCTGCAGGAGAACAGGACAATAGCATTGCGCCTGAAAGCGGGTTAGCTTTTAAAAACACAAAAGTAGTTGTGCAGAAGGTGAGCTGGGAGTGAGTTTTTTCTGTCCACTTCTTTCCAGTGTTTAAAATGCAGCTATCTTCCTTTCAATAAATGAATACTGTTAAATGAGAGAAAGACATCAGCCTTTGTGTAACCCCAAGAAATCAGCAACTGTATTTCCACAGAATGGACCAAGACTTCTGCATTCACATACCTTGCTTGGAATAGTTTTTATTTTTATTGAGAAGAGGAGCAACTTAGGTCTTTGGAAAATCAATGATTTTTTCTGATAATTTTCTATTTCAGGTTCATGTTTAAATTTTTAAATGTTCCAGTGCATCTAAGAGGGTCATAGGGCTGAGAATAAATCTGGGGCAAGGGGAGGGCGGCTTTTAAACAGTTTATGCCTGAAAGGAATTAGTCTGAGAAAAAGGGAGCTCAAAAAAGACGAGAGAGACCAACGAGGAGAAGGCAGATGCTCTCCCTGTCCCCTGGAATCGTGGACCAAATCCTGGTTTCTAGAACACGTCCTGTGAATGTCTGAAGTTTAAAACTGAAATAGTAAATGTACACTGATTCACCACGAGCAAGATTTAGCACAAGAGATGTGAGGTGGACCTCACATGAGAGAGAAGGAGCAAAGCATTTACGAGTATTTCAGTATTTACCACTGAAAACGCACTCTTTCCATATAAAAAGTAATTTCAAACATTATCAAAAACTTTATTTTATCATTTGGCAAAAATTTGACCTTTATCTTATGAGGTAGATCCAATGCTTTCCCTATTTTTCAGATTAGGGCCCCTCTTTAGAGACCAAGTGCCCAAACTGCAACGCCAAACCCACTCACATATAGCAAAGTGCCAACCCTGCAGTTAAACCCGAATACTGAGGTTTTAGTTCAGAGGAAACAAGTCACACATTAACATCTTTGTCTTAAAAGAAAAACAAATAACACACGTGTCTTAGGTTTGCCACCGTAGTACTAGAGGCTTGGGCTGAGGAGCAGGGGCAGCCTGGCTGAGCCCGGAGCGGGTACTCACTCCTCTCCCTGTGTGGGGCCACAACAGTGTTAACCTTCCGGACAGAGGCTTTAGGGAGGCCTGAGGAGACGGAGCGCTGGAGTGGGGAGTAGGGGGATCCCAAGGGCTGTTCAGCCTCCTCAGGGTTTCATCTGAGAACACACATACGTGACACATGCTCTTGAAAGTGGGACCTTAGGAACAAAAGCAAACACTGGTTACATTTTACTCCGGTGACTAATTGTCTCCAGGCCTTCTGTTCTCTCTCAGCTTTGGGTCTGGTTTCAGAAATAGATTGACCATTTACTCTTGGTCCTCATGGTACCCCGGAAGGACTGCGGCGAGGGTGAGCAGTGTTGGTCATGCACCGGGGAGGAAACTACACTCCGTCAAGGCAAAGGACTTGTCTAATGTCACCTACAAACAGAGGTGGACAGAAGGCCAGGAAGGAAGGGACACATACACAGTCAGTTTACATAGTGACTCCATTGTAGTAAGGTTCTTAATGTGTGTGTGCAGATGATCCATTCTGGGAAGAAAACTTGGAGCCTATGCCCGAAAACCTCCCAAGTAGCTCCAAGCATTCATTTTAAGTTATACTCAAGCTAATAACATTTCCATTTCAAAACTAGTGCTAGGTAGATAAGAAAAGCATTCAAATTAATAGTTTTACTCTTTTCCCTCTTCCCATGTCTGCACTATAAAGGGATCACTCAGAGATTAAGGACTTTTTGGCTTTGCAAAGATCTTGTTGATTGTACTAAAGCTTTTTTGATATGCTGGCTGAAATCTTTTTTGAGCTTTGTATTTTACTCTTAGGAATTGGATAACAATTTTGCATTGGGAAATCATCAGCATATTTGTTGATACTATTTTGAAAAACAGTCACAGAAGAGGGAGGGACTGTAGCTTTACATAGAAGCACTTTGTCATATCTGTTTTGGTACAGGCAGAGCTTGGAGGGGAACAGAACGTGTCTCTCTCGATCAAGTAAATGAGTGGGACTGGGGACAGTAATTCTGGAAAGATTAAGCACCTGCTTACTTGATCAGCAATTCTTGCCTAGACTTCTTAAAGATTCTGTAACTCTCCCCACTTCTCCTCTCCAGTCTGCTCTGTAGAAGGCTTCCCCAGGGACTGTCTTAAAATGCAAATTTGCTGACCTTACTGACATGTGAAATCCTTCAATGTGTCCCCATCCCATGCTCTCTGGCTACAATCTCAATTCCTTGACAAGACCTAGAAAGCCTTGCCAGACCAGCCTCAGCTCTATACACACGCACCCCTCAAGAATGTTCCAGAATTGTGATAGGAGAGGCTCAGAGGCAAGGTCTGGGTGGAAGAAGTTGCTGGGTAGCTTGAGAAGGGGCAGTGGGAGATTGGTGAGGACCAGTACCTGTCCCCTCCCCCTACACACTCCCCCTTCCTCTTGTTCTGCATCGCAACTATGTTGTCCTGCTTTCAGTTGCCCCTGTGCTCAGGGTCTTTGGCCCCGGGCTCTCTTACCCAGGGATTGTCCCCTCAGAAGATCACTGACTTCTGCATCATTGAGCAGAGAGGCTTCCTCGCTTTCCCACCCTGGCCGCACCCTCCTACTATGCACTCTCTTAGCATCCACCCTCCTTTGTCTTTCATCTTTCGGCCTTACCTGCCATCTCTCCTCTGCTTCCACTTGAGTCAGCTTAAGCCAGCCTCACAGGTTCCTTCAGTGGTTCCCTGAACCCTGGAGTTCTCTTGGATTCCCCCAGGTGCTCTTAGAGCACCCCTCTAGTCATACTCTGAAGTCATCTTACAAGCTCTTTTAGGGTTCATTGTAATTCACTGTGCCCTCCCATGTCCCCAGGGATTCAGCAGTGGCTGGCGCTCAGTGTAAGGCTTATAAGTGAACAAACTGCAGTCTCCTGTGGTCTCCTAGATTGCCCGTAGAGATAAGCTTGTTATTCAAGCTTCTCATGTCAGTGGATGGGTGCAGAGATTACTGGAAACTTGCATAAAGTTGGAAAACACTTACCGTTCTGAAATGTAGCCTTCATTAGTCACCCTTCTCAGAGAGCTTGTTAGTGAAATTAATATCTCCTTTCATTTAGGACAGGGTTCCCAACCCAGAGTACCTGAGAACCCTCAAAGACTTTATAAAGCCCAGATGTCAGATCTCACACAAAGAGATTTTAATTCAGCAAATCTGAGATCAGGTTCCAGGGGATTTGGTAATAGGTGTGGGACAAGGCTTCAGAATTTTCTTTTAAGTCTTTAGTGATATCGGTTAGAAGCATCTGCCAAAGTCCTATAGAACTTCATTATCTGACATTCAATGGTGTATCCTCTCTCAAATGAAGATAAACTCTTTGTGGGTAGGGATATGCCTGACACAAAAAGGCTAATGTCTGACACAAAAAGAGGGCATGAGCTGAAAATAGTCTTGCTTGCAATTATCTTCCTTCTTTCCTTCCTCCCTCCATTCTTTTCCTGAAAAAGACAAATGTGTAATGCATAATGTGTGCTTGTGTACATAGGTATATACTGTGCATGTATGTGCATACAGGCATTTGTGTGTTTATGCATGTGTGCATGCATGCACTTATGAGCATGTGTTTGCATGTGTGTATGCATATGTGTGTATGCCAGCATATATGTGCATTTGTGTGTATGCATTCGCACACTTACATGACAAGGGCCCAGCTATTTACCTGGATAAGGCGCACAGGGTTCTGCATGATGTCCTCTCCCCCAAAAAGGTAGAGCCTCTGGTCCTTCACAGCCACAGCTGGGTGGAGAACCGCTACAGGCATGCTGGCCATACTCTCCCAGATGTTGCAGACGCTGTCATATCTTTCCATGGAGCCCAGGAGCTCCTGTCCGCCCCCTAGGCCCCCAATGGAGAAGATAAAATTCTTGTAGGCTGTGCTTCTGTGGGAGTATCGGGCTGTCAGCATGGGCTCTCCCAGCCTCCACTGGTTGAGCTTCAAGGAGAAGATGTAGACATTGTGACTGACCAGACTTCTGCCTGCACTGACAGCCATGCCGCCCAGCACATAGATGCTCCGGTGCAAGGTCACTGCTGAGGCCTTGTACAGCCGGGTGGGAAGCTGGGCCAGGCTCTGCCATTCTCCGGTCTGGGCACTGTAGAGCAGGACGTCCCTGGTGGTCTGCTGATTGTCCTTCCTGCCACCTACAAGGATGAGGAAGTCTTGGTAAGAGCTCCTTGGAGGGATGTGCCACAGGGGTCTGCAGTCGGGGGCGCTGGTGCCACACAGAGAGAATACCTGCCTCCTGGCTGCCTCCAGGAAGGCCTGGCATGCAGGTGAGGACTGAAGAAGGGCATCACTGGCCATGAAGTGGTGGAAGAAGGCCGGGTGGACGTACTGAAGCCGGACCTGCTGCAGCAGTTCCTGCAGGTAGCGCTTCCGGGCCTGGAGGTCGTGCCTGACCCAAGCCATGAGGGCCTCGAACACCTTCTCCTCCTCCCCACAGAGCCTGTCATCTCCCAGGTAGTCTCTCAACTCCAAAGCACACAGCTCCTTCAGGTCAGCTGATGCAGCCACCTCTGGGAAGCACGTCAGGGCCACCTCCTGGGCTTTCTTCTTGAGGGCCTCACAGCTTAGGATTTCTGAGAGTCTGATCATGCCCAGGCAGTTGCTGGGGGCCAGTTGGCTCTGCAGGTAGGAGGAGCAGGCCTCGAAGAGCCTGGGATACTGCAGCATGGATGCCGCCTCCATCAGGGGGAGGACATTTCCAGCTGTGACATGTGCCTCCCCAGTGTACACATAGGTTACCACCTGCTCCAGAGCCATCCAGGAGATGCCTTTCAGCTGCACTTTGGCCTCACTGCTCTCCCGGAAGTTGCTGCAGAACATAGCCCGGAAGTAGGGGCTACTGGAGGCCAGCACATTGCGGTGGCATGGAACCTCCCAGCTGCCTGCACAGATGCACACATCGGTCAGGATCCTGTTTTGTCTTAAGCCATTGAGCTGCCTCAACAGGTCAGATGAGAAGTTGTGATCTTTGAAGAGCAGCCCGTCTGGCGACTCCTCACCCATCCTACAGAAGAGGGGAGGAAGCCCCAGGAGGGGACAAGGGTCACGTCTGCATCAGCAGCATGTCCTGGAAGCCTTAGCTGTGGTAGTTCTGAGACCCAGCACACCTGTGTCCACTCAGCGGTCTGTGGGGCCGCTAGGGGTGCTGCATAGCAAAGATTGGAAAGGAAGGTCACCCCCTCCCACCTGGGACCTCAAAGGCAACACATCATGTTTTGGTTATGGTTATATGTCCTTAAAGGTAATAAGAAACCAATACCTTCAGCTAATGTGAGGAGGAAAATAAACCAAAGCTGTAAGTCACTTGACGGTCAGGGGCTGAAGTGTTATATCAGGGAATGGTCCACCCACATGAGCAGCAGAAGTGGGAGCCGCTTTCTAGATTCCTGGAATGTCTGCTGCTTAGTGACCTCATCCAAATGTCTCTTTCTGGGTGTTAGTCATTCCCTATGTATGATGTTCCAGGGGTGAAAATGGACTTTTAAAAATATATACATATATGTACACACACACTTATATGGTAGATTATATTATAAATGTAGAAACATAACTGGGTTTTGTACAACCCACATTCCGTGAAAACATGACCAAACCATGCTGAGGGCTGCTGGATGGCATCCAACTGCCTACCTGCAGAAGAACGAAGCGTGAGGGGGATTTACCTTGCTTTGGTGTGGTGACATCCACTGATGCCTGGTCTGTCTTGTTTCCCCAGAAAGTTTCCACCTCTAGCTCCGAGTGAAACCATAAAAACCAGGCCTTTCCTTCAGCTGGAAAATGATTTGTCCTGGGAGAGTTCTGGATTTGTTTATGCTGAAGGCACTTTCACAGTTTTCTAGAGCTCTGTGCAAGGGCCGCCGGGCAGGGAGACAGTGTATACATTCCAGGGCTAAGAATAGCCGCATATGTACTTTCCACTGTTATGACATGTGACTTTCCAGTTGCCTTTTGCAGCCATCTGAGGGCCTGCCGGGCTGGCGCATGCCCACATGCCTTGTTTCTTTGGCAAGTGTTTACAGCGGCATAAATAGATCGGAGGAACGGCTTCTCTATGTAAGGCTTTGCTGCCCACTTGAGTCCTTTGTCCTAAGAGTGCCTGGGAACTCTAGATGACTATAAACAGGTTGCTCTGACCTGTGCAGAATCACTGAAGATTTCTCTGGGCCACGATGAAGGTAGTAGACGGTCACAGGGAAGCAGAGCACACGCCTGGGTGCAGTTTGGTGGATGTCTGTTTCGCCTCATCAGCCTGGTGGGATCTTGCAGAGAGCTGTGATGTCCTCCTCCGGACTCCCAAGGATAGAATCCAGCATAAACGTCGTTGTTGCTGTTCTTACCTGCTATGAAGAACCCTGGGGTTTCCACCCTGTGAGGGCCCAGCCTCTGTGGGCCTCCTTCCCTCGAAGCTTCCACTTGGGGTGACTGCGTTCCGTCTGCCACAGCTGCCTCTCCTGCACAGTGCTGCCTGCTTGCCAGCTAGTTTCCCTTAGAGTTTAGGGTGATTTTCCAACCTCTTTGTCCATTTTCTCTTGTCAGGCTTGAGCTAGAGGCAGGAGGCAAAGCATACTGCTCCAGGAGAGGAGAAAGAAGAGAAGGAAAAAGGAGGAGCAGGAGGAGGAAGTGGAGGGAGTGGAGAATGGTGCTGGTGACGCGATGGGGTGGGAGGCAGCACGGTTACAGGAACATGTGGGAGACCTCATCCCCGCCGGGATGGGAGAAAGGGCTGCCACTCCCACCTCCATGTTCCAGCCCCGAGTGGAGGGGAGCCTGGCTTTCTCTTCTCATGTCTTGCACGGACTACTGCCATGGCCTCTGAGGATTTTGTCCCTTTCTCCTAATCTCTCTCCCTCTGAAACCTCTGCCCTGTTATCACCAGAGTAGCCCTGGGGCAGGAACGTCAGAATCTGCTCCCCGTCCCCAGCCTCATGTCCTCTGATGGCGTGGCCTGTGCCCAGGCTCTCTTAGCTTCCAGAACCCTGTTTCCTCCCATCTAAGCATCTGTGGCCTAGTTCCCCCAGATGGCTTAGGGTTGCTGGTGTGTGTCTGGATTCTGCTGGGGACCCCAGGGCAGGGTGGGAGTCTTCCAATCCTGGTTGCAGATCCCAGAGTGTCTCAGCCCAAAGCAGTTCAGAAGGGCAGGGGCAGGAAGCATACCCAAAGCGTGTCGCTGAGGGCTGGAACTCAGGGGAGTGATCCAAGGCCCAGGGAGACAGGGCTCCCTGGGGAGGGAGGAGAGTGCCGCTGTGTGCATAGGCCACACTGCCGAGTTCTGGCCTTCTGAGCCATGCTAGTGACATAGGTGAGTAGCAAGGGCCTCACAGGCTCGTAGCTCTCCTCCTTGTTCTCCGTCCCTCCACATGTGTTCTTCCTTCCTTCCTACCTTCCGTCTTCAGGGTTCCAAGCCGTCCTCAGAGCTTAGCTTGCACATCAGCTTCTCTGAAAGTCTTCTTGACCTCTTCCTGGCACTCCTTCCTCACACTCCTGTGCCAGTCACATCCCCTCTGCACACTTCTGACATGACACCTTGGACCTCTCTGCTGGTACATCTACCTGTGTTGCTCCTTTAGAGTGGAAGTCACCCTGGCACAGGAATCTAGACTTAAGGGCCTCTCTATCCCTGGCACCCAGCACGGTGCCTGGCGCTGAGGGGTGAGTTATGCACCACTTGCTCCCAGATGGAGCTGTGGAGGAGTGGAGAGCGGGGGAGTCGGCGAGCTCAGCGGGGTGGGCCTCACGCTAGGCCTCACACAGGTGTCGTGGGGCTGCAGTTGGCAGCTGGTGTGAGACTGCAGTGCAGATGGTGTCTTGGGTGTTCCTCATTTGAACCACGTCCAAGAACAGGTGATGTGAAAAGTAAACTGTTGGGTTCAAACTATAAGTGAATGTTTACATTTAAAAGATTGATTGCATTAAAAGACACATTGCCATCAGTCCCCTCTAAAACCTCCCCTCACTTTGAACACACCCACCCACCCCACTGTTCCTGCCACTTTTGGAAGCAGTTCTGGAAGTGCTTTTTCCTGAGGGTCTTTACAAGGTCTGATCAAAACCATGGTGAGCGCTGCTGAGGAGGGCAGTGTCCAACCGGAAGGCAGCCCTGTAGAACACTGTGGTGTGTCCCCACCCACCTTGTTCACCAGACCCAACACCACGCAGCCTCTGACTCCTCCACAAAGTCAAAGTGAACGTGAAAGACAAACTTTTGAATTGATTCAAGAAATGGAAGCGGCCACAACAGCACAACAAAAGATGCTCATGGAGAGGACTACCAGCCTTGTTCAGACCGTGGCAGGAAGGCGGAATCAGTGTGTCGGAACTGAGGGCATAGTCTCTTGAAGGGATTAACAGTGACATGCCTTTTATTGTAATAGTTCAAAACTGTTTAAACACCCACCATAGTTTTCAGTCGTACCTTATACAAATTGCTTTGTACTTAGTTTGGGGCAGGGAACTGAACTGAGGCCTTTAGAAGCCAACACAAGGGAAAAAGAACTTCCTTCTTGCTCTGCAGTGCCTGTGTTAGCCCTCTTCCAGCTACTAAGCCAGCCAAAGGGAAAAGGTAGAGAGCCCTGTAGGGAGTGAACACAATCCTGCCCTATCAGGCGTTTGGATTTTCCCCTCCATCTCTGACTAATTAGACCTTCTGTATCCAGCCCTGCCACGGTCAGTGTCGATGTCTGACCAACCTGACTAAGAGTCTCATTTCTAACATCTAGAAAAAACAGCCCCTGTTTTGTTAGCCTAGGCTTCTAGGAGAATTCTGGTTTTCCAGGAAATGTCAGGAAATGACACAAAGAAAGTCTTGGTGTTTAGCTCCTAGAAGCGTGTAACCCCAGACCCGATCCCAGAGCATATCTCCCAGCCGGGTGTTCTCCCAGCCAGCCCATTCCCACAGCCATCTCTGCGAGGGTCTTATTACAGTGTGCCTGAACTGTTATCAGGAAGGTGCTTTGTCCTAGGGTCTGAGCATATGGCTGTTTAAAGTAAATGAGGACACTCAGCTCCTGGTCCTTCTTTTGAGAAAAGTCAGTATCACACTGAATCAGGGCCCAAACTCCCGGGGGCAGAAGGGCAAGGGATGATCTGGGAATTTCTGCGTGGGTTTGGGCAAGAGTCTTACACTCTTCCAGCCTCAATTTCTCCAGCAAAGTGCCTAGTACTGTGAGTGTTCTGTTACTGCTCTGAAGGTAACCTCATGAGATGCCAGCTGGTCCTGGTGTCTGGTTTCCAACAGCTAATTTGGCTTCCTGCTCAATCTGGCTGATCACTTTGCCTGGAGCAGTTGTCATGCTCCTTGTCGTCTGCTCAGATTCAGGAGTTCTGGGTTCTAGTCTGAGCCCTGTCGTGGTCTGGGTGTGTGAGTTTGGACAAGTTACTTAACCTCTCTGTATGTATTTCCTCATGGAGCCTTGACCATACCAACCTGTGGTTCTGTGGCTGGAGGAGTCCTCTGTGAGCTGTGGTCCATCGAGGGGACTATGAGGGGCCAGGCCTTGGTGATGAAGCCTGCATGGCTCTGGACTGAGACTAGGTGCAGAGGAGAAGTGCCAGTCAGTGCCAGCTGGAGCCTTTTATTATTTTGTCCTTTTAAGTGGATTCTGGAAGTCTTAGCTTTCCTCTCAGTTTTAGGCTGCCAAGGTAAGGCCGTGGGACTCAGGGACTCAGGAGGACATGGCTTCTTCCTGCTGGCTGTGCTGCCCTGAGATTCCTGTGGGTGGGCAGGCTGGTTTGAGTCAGCAGCAGTTTGACAGCTACATCCAGGAAGCCACAAAGCACAATGCCCTGTGCACATGCAGCCCCCGACGCCTTCTGGGGTGGGCGCCCACCTGCCCCTCTGTGAGGAGCAACCTCACACTGATGAGAGACCTTGGCTGTGGCAGCTCTGGGAGCCGAGTCTTGAAAGGGGCCACATCCAGTTGAAGGCCCTATCGCAGCTGCTCACTCTCTCACTGTCAGACCACTCTGTGCTGGTGCCGAGCAGCTCCTGGGTCCACCTCGGCAGATGGAGTAGAGACACAAGTGGACCCCTGAGATTTTGGTTCCCTGGATCATTAAAAGCCATAGGAAGAAATTTGCCTTCATATACAATTTCAAATTTCCTTTCTATAGTCAGCCCTCTATGGCCACAGGTTTTGCAGCATGGATTCAATCAACAAAAATAAAAAATTCTGAAAAGAAATTGCATCTGTACTAAACACATACAGACTTTTCCTTATCACTATCTCCTATATAGTCTAACAGCTATTTACAAGGCACTACATGGTTTTGGTATTATAAATAGCACAGAGAGATGATTTAAAGTGTGTAGGAGGAGAGGGAAGGCTATACACCAACACTGCCCCATTTCATGTGAGGAACTTGGTACCCACAGGGACCTGAAGCCCGTCCTCCACAGATCTGGTGGAGGGCTGTGAGAGCCTGCTATCTCTGTATCTCTCCTACTGAGCGTGTTTTTGCAAAAGCTGAACACCCTGTACTCCAAACAGTGGTCAAAAAGGGAGTCTGCCCCTTGGTCCAGAGGTTGCCATGACTACCATCCTCCAGGTGTTAAAAAGCTGATGCTGATGTTATCAGCTCAGTAGCACAAGTGACAGCATACCCATCTATTCTTCCACCCTGTCTCGCTACCAGAAAATATCTTCATATTTTTCTTCCCTAGGGGAAAGCAAGGGGAAAAACAGGCCAACAGAGACGACGTCAGGACCATTACAGATTGTTGGTATAACCCGGCTGTCCCGGCCCCTTCTTCCCGCAAACTCAAGTCTGATCTCATGCATCACTGTGCCACAGACCAGCTTTCTGGGCTCTCAACCAAACCAGGAAGGAAGGAAGAATATAACCAAGGATGCTTTCTTACCCTCCTATTTCAGCACTGTGAGTCAGAACGAATAATGTTCTGTGTGGTCTCTTTGCCTCCCAAGTCCACTGTCCCTGAGAAGTAAGGTCAGCATGTCTGCAAGCATCCCCTCCTCCTGGCCACTCAGGGAAAGACTGACCATTTGCTGGGATGGATAGGAAGGGAAAGGCCTACATAAGGAGCTCTGGCTAGAAAAGGTGAGCTACACTACACTTAGAAATCAAAATAGTTAGAACCTCTGGGGGAAATGGGAATCAAGCCAGGATCTGATTAACTAAGGGTTGTCTACCTATCTGTCTGTTCATCTCTCTGTCCATCCATCCACCCACTCATCCACCTACCCAGCCAGCCAAACACCCACCCAACAAGACTCTAGGGAAACAGACAGGGTCTCTGTCCTCATGCAGTTCACAGTCTTGTAAGGGAGACAGAGACATGACTCCATGTCCTGAGCGTTCTGAAGGGAAACCTTTCCCAGACTCCCTCCTCCCTACCTCATCACTCTCCCTCACTCCCACTGTGAATTCTGGGTCCTTGCAAAAGAACCTTATGCATACATCTTTGAAAAGCTCTCACATCAGGCTGAATTTTAATCCTGTGTTTTCATCTCTCTCTCCCATACTAGATTGTAGCTCCTTGAGGGCAGGTATAAGTCTTGTCCCTCACCTTTATTTGCAAAGGCAGAGAAATAGAATGGAGTTTGTTGACAGACACTGCTACTAGAGACTGCTTACTTCTGTCCTCTTCAGACTGCTTATATTTTTAATAGCACCTCTTTTAAT